AGAAACACATACACACACTCTCTCTCACACACACACACAGACACACACACACACACACACACACACACACACACACACACACACACACACACACACACACACACACACACACACACACACACACACAGCACATCCATCTCTCACTCCTTCAAACTGCACCGTGCTATCACCATGGTAACAGCAGATTGAGGGACTTTTCGCTGCACCGACTGCTTAATTCTTATCTCTTTCTCCTCTCTGTATGCCTCTGTATTATTCTGTCCCCCTCCCACACGGCTGTGTTTTGTCACGTGCACTCTTTCACTATCAGTGTGTGTTATGGAGTATCCAACACACCCACAGAAACAAACTGATCACACAAGGAGAGGTGCACTTCTTCCCTCTCAGTCTCACTCTGCTCCCTCCCCAGGCTCTCCTAACGCGGCTGGTGGTGTGACGTCCTAACTCTTCCTGCCCAGCATGGTTGCGTCCCTGTGGTTCCTGGGGGTGTGTGTGCTCACTCTGGCTCACATCGCCCCCTCCAGCCAAGGTAAGCTTCCCGGCACTGAGGGTAGTATGTATCACATGATGGTTTTGAACCTGACACAGCAAAACAGCAGAATGAATCACATTTGGAAGAGGAAGAAATGGATGGTGCTTGCGTGACTCAAGTTGAAGTCATTGCTTGGCAAAGTCAAAAAGTGTAACTCAGCCCACTTCCTGTAGAGAAAGGCAAAGTCATCCGGTGACCTACATAACAAAAAAAAGCTCACCAGAACATTTGAAGTGTGCAGCTTGCCACAGGGAGTTTCTTCAGAAGCCGCCCCGAGCTCCTAGTTAATAAACAATCAGTCATTCAGCACCACGGACAGTTACAGAACACCAGCAGCATACTGATCACACAGACCTGTTCGCTGAGAAAGAGGCTCTAATCCTGAAGCGGCAAAACACCTTTCCATGTGTACATGATACTCAGCATCATGTGAACAAGCGGATTAAGATAATGCTAATGTGATTTTATTCAATGAACATGGTTTACACGGATTAATATGGCAGTTAGGGGAGTACACACACACACACACACACACACACACACACACACACACACACACACACACACACACACACACACACACACACACACACAGACATGACAAAGAGAACCTTCAAATAAAATTAAAATAAATCATAGTTATATCTTGTTTTTCTCGACTTGTGTTTACCGAGCCTCTGACAGGCAGTAGTATAAGCTTTATTGACCCCAAAGATTTTACAACACATGTGCCCACGCATCACATCGCATGCAGGTGTCACAGTGGAGGTGTAGTGTGATTTATGTCAACAATCATGCTTCACCTGGGAATACTGCCAGAGTAAATGTGACAGTATGTGTGCTTGCACCAAGGCAGGTATCACCATGTTTGCATCTTGCAAAGCAGAGTGAGTTATCTAAATTACACTAACATGTCAACATGGGTAGAACATAGGAGTATGTTGCCCATAGCTTATTAAATATCTTGAGGTATGTATGCTTGAATTATAAACAGCTGCTTTGAGAGGAAATTCACAAGTAGTAAACAAACATAACGGCATTATTTGAATCCACATACTGTAGATAAGAAGCTCTCATCACCAGCTAGGCAGTGTTGCCACCCTCTAACGCCCCTCTAATTAAAAAATGGTGATGATTGGTTGAATGTAGTCCCTGGTGTAGCTGCAGAGCAGATAGCAAGCAGCTTCTAACCTGAGAAGGCATCCACAGCATCCCTAATAGTGTGTTACTTTAAGCGTTATTGTAATTAAAACAGGTAAATAAAACAAAAAATCAGCCCCAATAGAGTTGTCAGACTTGGATATGGTCTTTAGTCCTGAAAGTCATTGTCACACAGGCTGCTACTCATTACTACATTACTCTGAATATGTATCCATTAACTGAATAGCAAACAAGGTAAATGCTAATTGTACTTTCCAATAAAAACTCCCTCTTTTCTTCCTTCCTCCACCCTTTTGCACTCATGAGCAGCTATGTCCCGGGCCGCCATGCCGTTCGGGCTGCTGCGCAGGGAGCTGGCGTGCGAGGGTTACCCCATAGAGCTGCGCTGCCCAGGAAGTGATGTCGTGATGGTGGAGACCGCCAACTATGGACGCACCGATGACAAGATCTGTGACGCAGACCCTTTCCAGATGGAGAACACGCAGTGTTACCTCCCTGACGCACTCAAGATTATGGCACAGAGGTGTGTATGTGCCGGATTTACACATGTTGTGCTTGAGTGAGAGCTTAAATCATCCAGCAGACGCAAATCGGGCCATTTGCGTATTTGCAAAATGTAATTTGAAATGTTAGACAAAGCCAATACTTGTGTGTCGTGAGTGTGTGTGTGTGTGTGTGTGTGTGTGTGTGTGTGTGTGTGTGTGTGTGTGTGTGTGTGTGTGTGTGTGTGTGTGTGTGTGTGTGTGTGTGTGTGTGTGTGTGTGTGTGTGTGTGTGTGTGTGTGTGTGTGTGTGTGTGTATGTGTATGTGTATGTGTATGTGTGTGTGTGTGTGTGTGTATGTGTATGTGTAT